TAATAAAAGGTGCCCAGCAGAGCCTGTGAGCAGGACGCTGGAAGAGTCAAGCATGGACACCCTTGACGGTGACCTGTGGACCTGGTCAGAAGCTGCGGCCTCCGTCAAGCTTCCAACCCCCAGCCATCGAGCCGATCCCGACCCCAAGCCAGGAGGACTCGGTAGCACGGAGGAGAGCTGCCCCACAGGGTGGCCCGGTTGTGGATCTTTGCAGAAGCAGACAGCCCCATTTTCCTCCCACTGAGCAGCTGGTGGGTTTGAACTGATGGCCTTTCTGTTAACAACCAAGAGCTTAGCTGCTGAGCAACCAGGCCTTCTTTCCACCAGGATTCTGTTCTCCTCGTAAACACCTTTCACATACACACTCTCCCTCTGAACCCCCTGCCATCAATCCTGGTGAACGGCGACGCCACAGGACATGCTAGAGCTGCCCCCTGGGGAGTTCTGAGATGGGAGTAGAAAGCCCCATTTTCCTTCCTCTGAGCAGCTGATGGTTTTGAACTGCCAACCTTGTGGTTAACACCCCAACACGTAACCACTATACCACCAGGGCTCCTTTCAGGATTGCTGCTTGCCCCAAGAGTTAAAACTAACTAACTAAACAGCACCCCACTGCTACCAAGTCAATTGTAATGCACACCAACCTATAGGACAGGGTAGAACTGTCCCTGTGGGTTCCTCAAATGCTAACTCTCTATGGGAAGTTGAAAGTCTCATCTTTCTCCTGTAGGCGGCTGGTGGTTTCAAACTGCTGACCTTGGGGTCAGCAGCACAATGTGTGACCCACTGTGCCACACAAGCTGTGATGCTTCGCTCAGAGGTAGCGTGATTTGTTGAACAGCTTGTGAGCACCAGACTGGCTCACCGGTTGGTTTCCCTGGAAAAGACTGAGCACACTCATCCCTGAGTCCCCGGGGCCAAGGCAGTCGCACTGCACTGGTTGGTTTGTCCTCGTCCCTAATTCCAGGTCCGCAGAGGCATCCCAGCAGGTCCCCAGGCGGGGAGCACCCTGGAGGGCTCCCCATCTCTCAGATGCCCTGAACTGGGCATATCCTCCTCCTGGACCCCTGGTCTCTGCAAAGCCCGTCTGGAGGGAGGAGTATCTTCTAAAATAGGTGCATTCCAAGTTCTATCCCTCAGTGTGACTAAACAGACGCTCTAAGGTGCAGAGATTAAAGGCCCGCTCTTGCTGTTGACGAAGTCGGTGGTTGGAACCCACCAGCTGCTCCTGGGGGTGAAGAGGAGGCTGGCTGCTTCTGTGACGGCCTCAGAGACCCCAATGGACAGGGGCTGCTGTGGGTCAGAATAGGCTTGGTCTTTAGTCCCTGGGTGGTACAGCCAGTTAACGCACTTGGCATTGATCCAGCAGCTGGGTACTTCCCATGGGGAAAGAAAGGTCTGGCTGTTAACTTCTGAACACAACGGAGCGCACTCCCGCTCTGACACCCACTGGCGGGGCCCCTGTGAGTCACAGCCGACCTGGGGGCCACTGGCAGGACTTCCACACTGGTTCTTCTGGGTTTGGTGCCCAGGCTGAGAACTTGCCTTTCTGCGCGCCCACAAGCTCCCCAGGCGAGCCTTAGCAACCAGCACCCGCCAGCGTTGGAAAGCCAAAAAGGAAGAGTGGGCACAGAATTTCCCCGGGTGAAGACTGAAAGCCAAGCCTGGAGCGGCAGTGCTGAAGGCTCCGTGGGCGCGAAACACGGACAGAACCATCAACGGGAGATGGAAGGAATACACAGAGTCACTGTACTAAAATGCGTCCGTCAGCATTCCACCCTTTCAGGGGCAGCATGTGATCAGGAACCCACCTGACTGACGGAAGAAGTCCAAGCTTCCCTGGAGGCATTAGCAAAATTCAAAAACATAAGACTGCAGGAATGGAAACAACACCAACTGAAATGGTTTCAAACCTCTCAGATAGCGGGGGAAGCCCTCACTTGTCTGTTTATGCCAGCCAACAGAAAGAGACCCCTGCTTGTGCCCATTCCATGGAAGGGCGACCCAACAGAATGCAGAAGTAATACTAATATCTCATGCAAACCCAATGGTGCCAAAGACCACTCAGTAACAGAGGCGGCAATTACGTGGACAGGGAGCTGCCAGAAATGAAAACCTGATTCAGACGGGGATGTGGCGTGACAGAGGGAGTGCACTGTGCACGTCATGGATCTCGGCTGAAAGCAGAGACTTCTAGAAAGATGTGTCCTTGTGTTTCATTGCCGACACAAAGACACCCAACCACGTGGATCTTCACAAACTGTGGGTGGCCTTGGAAAGAATGGGAATTCAGGAACACCTCACCGTGCTTGTGCAGAACCTGCCCATGGACCAAGGGACAGTCCTTCCTACAGAACAACTCAGGAAACATACGCATCCGGGTGTGTCCTCTCAATTTACTGTCTGTGGGCTGAAAAAATCCCCCCAGGGGTTGATAAGACACCTACCTGTGTGTGGGGCACAAAGCGTTGTGTGATCCAGAGCATGGGAGAAAGGGACCAGGCCCTCCCCTGCTTGGTTGATGGACTGTGCCTCCCCCTGCCCCCGACCCCAGTGACTTATCGAGGGGCATGGCCCCTCCCTGTTGCCACCTGAGATCCGTGTTGCCATTTTCCTCCCTTTATCAGCATCTTCTTCCTGCACTTAAACCCTCATTACCCTTCCCTGGGCTGAAAGCAGAGCCCTGGGGGCATGGTGGTTCCCGAGTTACGCTGCGATCTGCAAGGTCAGCAGTTTGGAACCACCAGTCGCGGCTCTGGAGAAAGAGGAGGTTGTCTACTCCCGTAGAGAATTACAGTTTCAGAAAAACACAGGGGCAGGTTGGTCCCCTCCTATAGGGTCGGCGTCGACTCGGTGGCAGTGAGTTTGTCTGTTGGGGGTGTTGAACACAGGCCATCGCCACCCCCCACATGTCTCCTGATTGTGAGAAATGCTTTCCCCCGTGGCACTGCCTTTGCTGTGATGCCAGGCTCCCCGCCCCCCACCCCCTGTCCTCTGGGCGCCTCATTGCCCGGGCTCAGTCTCGTCTCTGACACCTGGGACCCCCATCTTCTCTTCTCTCTGCTTCCCGACCACCGCAGGGGTGAGCAAGGTGGTGACAGTGGACATTAAGGGGAACTGGCAGCGCTGGCTGAAGGTGCGGGACCTCACCAAGGGAGTGACCTACTTCTTCCGCGTCCAAGCACGGACCATCACCTACGGACCCCCCATACAGGGCAACGTCACCGCAGGGCCTGCGGATGGTAAGTAGGACCCTCGGGGGAGGCCACCCGGTGCCCACCAGACCGAGGTTTGTTTGGCGATGAGTGAGAATTAGAATCCAGTCCCTCAGGTGAACTACCAGAATGATCACAAGGGGGACTTTCATAAACAGATATTTACTCACTCACCGAGTAGGAGACTCAAAGTCTGAATTCAGGGAGTCTGTTTTCTGGGCTGGCATCTGCCCTCCCCACCTCTGTCTGCCTCTCAGTTCCCTTCTCTGCCCAAAGCGGGGGGCACCAAGCACTCCCTCCATGGACACAGCCTCATTCCTATATGTGTTAGTCTGGGTATTTTAGAGAAACAAATCCACAGAAACTCATGTATAAGAGAGTTTTATATAAAGGTTACATGCACATCAAGATAACATCCCAACCCAGTGCTGCCCAAGCCCACAAGTCTGACATTAACCCATATGTCCGACACCAATCCACAAAGTCCTCCTCCATCTCACAAAACACACACAATGATGCTGACTGCAGGAGGAAAGCAGAGTCAGTGAATGTGTAAGCATCTCAGCGCTGGCAGGGGTTTATACACGGCTGCTCCAGCATCCAGGGCTGCATCCGGGTAGGTCCATGTGGCTTCTCCTTAGGATGTCTTGCAGGAAATGAGCCTTGCCAGTTGAAGCAGGGAAGTGGATAAGGTAAGGTGGCCAGAAGCTGGACAGTCCCGATTTTTGGAAAGAATGCACGACAAGCTAGGGAACGGTCTATTTGGTCCATATAGACCAAATTTTTAATCAAGAACACACACACACACACAAGCTAGGGAACCGTCTATTTGGTCCATATAGACCAAATTTTTAATCAAGAACACACACACACACACACACACACACACACACGTCAATGGTGTCCCGCTTTAAATCTGGTCACCTTAGGCTAAGGCAGCTGCACCCTGGTCCGACCATCAGAAAGAGACCAGAAAACTAGAAAGGCGAGGCTCACTGAGCCATTTATCTCTCCGCCCTTTAATTAACCCCACAGGTGTTTATCGGCCAGGTTGGCACAATAATCTTTAACTATCTCATCATAGCAAGGAAAGGCCCTCACTGGATTTGAAACCATGGCATAGGGCTGAGGAGTCCTCCTCCCCCACTTTTCCTGGAAGGGGTTAGGGCCACGTGCAATCCTAATACTGGCCAACTGGGGGTGCCCAGATGCAGAGAACCATGGGTGAAGTTTGCGAGCCTCCCCTGAAGACGGGAGAACATGAGAGAATACTGTTTTTCAAAAAAAAAACCCAACAGGACACTGTTAGAACATTCACCTGTCAGGTGGGACTAGGCAGCTGCCAGGGTAGCCAACAGCTAGGACCTTTGCTGGAACACTCACCCAGCCAGGCCAGCAGATCAGTGTCATGGGAGCTACACCGGGGGCTATGTATGGGGGGGCACTCTGTGGGGGGGCTTTACTGGGGAGCTATATCCAAAGGTTACACTGGAGGGGGCGACACTGGGCACTGGGGGGTACTTCTGGGGGCTCCATCTGGGCTCTTTCTATTCCACAGGCTCCCCAGGCTCCCCCAGAGATGTCGTGGTCACCAAGTCCTCCTCTGAGCTGACCCTGCAGTGGACGGAGGGGAAACCAGGCAGCACCCCCACCAGGGGCTTCCTCATAGAAGCCAGGCCATCAGGTAGGGGTGGGGCCTCCAGCATTTGGGGCCGGGGCTTTAGGCAGTCAAGGACAGCAGTGGCCCTGGGTGGGCTGCGGGAAGGACCTCCGGCCAGGTGGGTGGAGTTGAGGTGGTAGGGCCCGTGGTTAAGATCCAGCTGTGCCCGCCTCCCATGGAGGCTGTGTGAGGACCCCGTGGGAAGGTCTCTGAGGTTGTAGAGCTTCACGGCGGCAGAAGGCAGCATCTTCCTCCCTACAAAAGGCTGCCGGGTCCAACCATGGGCCTTCCTGCCAGGAGCCCAGCACTCAGAGACTGCAACACCAGGGTCTGGGACCTGTTGTATTTCTCCTCCATCGTCCGTCCGCCACCCTCATGAAGCAGAGAGGGGACCTGCGGGGTCAGCACATGGCTTCGGGGAGGCAAGGAGTGGGGGCAGAACTGCTGGGGAATGGGCTTGGGGTCCACCCTGAACCCTGACACTTGGAGGGACTCCCCAAAGTAGGGGTGTCTTCTCATATCCAGGGGAGGTCTGAGCTCAGAGGGGCTGGTGCCAAGATGAAGCAGGGGATGCAGGGGTGCAGGAAATGGCCCGGAAGATGCTGGCCTTTTTAATGAGCGGCGAAGGAGCCCTGGCGGAGTCCTGGGTTCTGTGTTGGGCTGCTAACCACAAGGTCAGCACTTCGAAACCACCAACCGCTCCTGAGGCAGAAGATAAGGGTTCCTGCTCCCATAGAGTGGCAGTCTTGGAAAACCCCAGGGCAGTTCTGCCCTGCCCTACAGGGGTCACTGTGAGTTGTCAGCAACTCCACAGCAGTCAGTTCGGTTTGGGGGTTTGAGAGTGACCTCACTGGTAACATGCTAGTGTGCAGAGAGGGATGTCTCTTCTGCCTAAACTCCTCAGTGGGTTTTCTACGACAGAGACCTGAAAAACAAGGAGCCTTAGGGGCGCTGCTGGTTAGACGACGGGCAGTTAGCCACAAGGTCAGCAGTTCAAACCCACCAGCTGCTGCACAGGAGAAAAAGGAGGCTATGTGCTCCCATGAAGACTTACGGAGCCACAGGGGCCGCCTGGCCCTCGGGCTGTGCCCGTGTGGCTGTGGCAGAGTCAGCAGGCAGCCGGCGCTGCAGGCTTTTCCAGGCCATTTTGCTGGGCGGGTCTCAGGGCCTGATTTACATATTTACACAATAAGCCAGAATGGCTCTCAAGGAACTATAAATACCCTTCCATCCCGAAGCCACCTGGAGGGGTACCGTTTTAGAATGTGCATTTTAGGACGTGTCCCTGGGTCCAGGCCGACTGGGCATTGCTTCTCTCACCACCAGTGGGATGGAGCCAGTGTCGGGACATGACCCGGTGGTCCCTGGCCCCCGTCAGTGTGTGAGGGCTCCGCAGAAAGATCTCTGAGGCTGGGGTCATCACGGGGGACAGACAGCAGCATCTTTCTCCTGGTGAGCACTCGTGGATGCCGATCGCAGCCCAGCGGCGCTTAGCTCACTGCGACACCAGGGCCCAGGAAGCTTTATGTTCCTCCTCGCTTGTCACCCCTCCCCGGCCATCTGCTTCTGGCCCTCAGGACTCTTTGTGCCCCTCTGCAGGCCCCTCCCCATCCATTCCCCTTCCACACGCTTTCTCTGATGACCAGAGATTACAGCGGAAGAAAGAAGGTCCGCCTTTACCCCCTAAGCCCCACCTCCAGGCCTGCACCCTCAGCTCAGACATCCCACCCACAGTCGCAGCTGCAGACCTGCGCTCAGCGAGGCCTGCACTTACCCTCTCTGGGCTTCCTCGGGGTGGGGGCTGGGGGGAGGAGTGGGAGTCAGCCACCACTGTGACCTTACTTCACCCCCACCATGCCCTCCCCACACGCAGTCCTGCCCCGTTCCACACACGTTTGCTGTCCTGAGCCCTGAGTTCCAAGCTACAGTGACCCCATCGCCACCCCCACCCCCATGCACAACAGTGGAAACACTGCCGCCAGCCCGGCCGGCCTCTGGATCATTCTTCAGGGTGAGCCCATGGCTGCGGCCACTGTGCCCATCCGCCCCATCGAGGGTCTTCCTTTTGACGCCCGCCTCTACTTCACCAAGCGTGGCACTCTTCTTGGGGGGCCGCTTCCATGACAGCGTCCTCGAGTTGGCCTCACCGCCATTCGGGGGCCTGGCGTCGGTGCTGACCCTTGATGACCCCACACACGGCAGGGACGGGGCCCTCCTGACAGCACGTCCAAAGTATGTGAGATCATATCCCGCGGCCTTGTCCCGAGACAGCTGGGGTGCTCCGTGGCACCTCGAATACTTCCCCGCCTTTGTCATTCAGAGGCCTCGCCTGGCAGGTCCTGTCCGTTCTTCCTGTGTTTGACCTCCGACGGGAGCTCTGCCGGGCGCCTCAGGCCCGCCCGCCTCGCTCAGCCGCTCGCCCAGATTGACCATTTAGACCAAGAAAAATGGCAGCAGCCGGGAAATAAAGCGGAGCCGGCGCCGGGCGCCCGAGGCTGCAGCTGGCTGTCAAGCTGTCGCAGGCACCACAGTGACACCAGCATCCCCGGGCCGTGAGTGGCGGTTCCATCCGGTGCCGAGACCCGGTTTAATTGCCCATGAAATCAAACTTTTGTGTTGCCTTGGCGTCTGCCCCGTACCTGCCTCCCTCGGCTCCCCGCCGGGTGTCCGAGGGATAAATTGAGCGTCTCGGTCTCAGCGGCACGGACAGCGGGGGTGTCCAACCCAGAAAACTGGCGGTCACCCAGGCGGCATCACTAGAAGTCATCCCCTCCCACCCCTCCTCCGTACTCACCACACAGAGGCCCCCCACCCCAACCCTCGGCTGGGCCCTCCTCCAGCAGCACCACCTATTTCAGTGCTAGAATCATCGTCCGTGGCAAGTACGGCTGTAGCTGCTTACAGGTGTGAATTGAACCAAACCACAGCCATAGAGTCGTTGCTGACTCACTGGGGCCCCCTGCAGGACAGGAGAGAACTGCACCACCACCCACCCACTCCCCCACACACACACCCTGTGAGTTCCCAAGGCTCTTGACTGTTGTGGGAGCAGACCCGCCTGTCTTTCTCCTGAGAAGGGGCTGGTGAGTTTGAACTGCAGCCTGTGGGGTTGCAGTCCGGCTGCACCCCCGGACACAAACCCACTGCCACAGACACAGAGTCCATGCTGACTCACCGAGAGCCTGTCGGACAGCGAACTGCCCCTGTGCGTTTCCGTGGCTGTCAGCCTGGATGGGAACAGCACGCCTCACCTTTCTCCCCTGGCGTGGCTGGAGGATTTGAACCAACGACCTTGAGGTTAAGAACCCAACAGGTCTACTCACTACGTCATCGGGGCTCCTTAAAACTGACTCCGGCAGGGGCATTTGGGGGGAAATGAAGCTTTTGCTAGAACATGGCACACACATGCTATGGGCAGGCATTGGGGCCCCCACCCTTTGGGTAATGTCACCCAGGTGGCCTGCTCCCCTGGAGCCCCTCCTGTAGATGCCGCAGTTCACAGCTCCAGGTGTATTAGGACGCCGTCTAGAAGCAGACCTGCCCCAGAGGTAGACAGGACTCACCCGGGGGCCAGGAGACAAACTCGCCTGTGATATCCAAGCCTATCTGTAGTGGGAGGTTTTATAAAGGGGGTAAAACCCAAAGAGCTCCCTGCCAGCGAGCCCCTCAGGACAAGGTAGGCCTGCCCCTGTGAGCTTCCGAGGCTGCGACCCTTGATGGGAGCAGAGTCTCAGCCTTCTCCCACGCACCCCCTAAACGTGTATTGTGAACCCCAACCCCTCTCCCCATGGAAAGGAGCCCTAGAGAGGCACTGGGCTGCTAGGGGCTTTCCCGCCGGCTGGCCCAAGGCAGAAAGAAGTGGCCCCTGCTTCCCTAAAAGGGAACTATCTTACAGGGTCGCTGACTCAGGACAGTGAGTTTTGTGGGAGACCTGGGTTTGCTTCCCGGCCAGGGCACCTCCTGCAGTCACCACACGCCTGCCAGAGCCCTAGCGACACAGTGGTTACTCACTGGGCTGTCACCTCAAGATCAGCAGTTCAAAACCCCAGCCCTTCCATGGGAGAAAGATGAGGCTTGCTTCTCCCACGGAGAGCGACAGTCTCAGAAACCCACAGGAGCAGTTCTACCCTGTCCTGAGGGTCGCCGCGAGTCAGAGAATCCACTCACTGGTACCAGTGAGTCAGTGGGACCAGAGGGTTTGTTGTTTTGTGTTGATGATGCTGAACAGGTTCGGGGGCGCTTCTAGCCTAGGAAGAAAGGCCTGGCAATGTACCCCCCAAAACAGCCAGCGAGAACCTGAGATTCCCAAGGGCCAGCTGCACAGGCCATCTTGGAGCTGGCCAGAGATCTGTCCTGCTGTGCTAGCGTCGTCGCCATGGGTCAGGGGTCACCTGGACACAGGTGGGAGAAACGGCAACAAGAGTCCCTTGCTCTCACCCCCAGGGGCAGCTTTCCACCTGCTTTGGCCACAAGCATCTGGACAGGTGTCTCTTTCAGTGTCTGGGATGGAGGGGCAGCCCAGTGGGCAGTTTGCTTTGGGTCCCCTTCCCCACACACACAGGGGCCTCCCCCCTGAAGACAGTGCAAAGCCCCTCCCCAGCCCGGGTCATGGTGCCGGGCTCCAAGGTCACTGGGCCCTCATGACTGGTCCTCAGGCGGTTGCATCATGGCCATGACTCAGGGACCAACATGCTGGTGGGGGGTGGGGGGTGGCAGGAGGCTGGGGTCTCCCCAACATGCTGCTGGGCCACTGACAGCGGGCTAGAGGACCCCTAGAAAGGCCCTTACAGAACACAAAAGACAGACTGGCAGGGAGCCGGGGCGATCCCAGGGAGCAGACAGCATGTCCCAGGGGGCAGTCCTGGGACGGGACCCCCCACCCCATGTGCAGTGGCCCTTCTTGCTGTGATGAGTAAGAGCTCCTGCAAGCAGACACAGAGCAGCGTCTCCTGCCTGCCTTCTGGTCTCCCGACCCTCTCCTAGCCCTGGGGGTCCTGGGGGGGGGGATGGAGGTACCCCCCCCA